TAATTCCAGCCAGTGGATATGCATGTGAGAGATGCAAGGCAGCAGAATTCGTAATCAAAGCAAAGCAAATTATAGGTTCCCAGAACACTTACTAGTGCCAAGGTCCACATGGTTAGCTGCAGTCCCCAAGATGATTGATTTGAGATTGTTCTGCAAACCATACCAAATTTACTCATGAAAACAAAATGTACAAAACTCCTAAAGTTTCCTAAAGCAATCAATGCATGACAAGCCCAGATTTAGTAATTCAAATGTGACTAAATATTTACATTAATTTTAAAGGACAGCATTTTACTGAGTGGTTACTGGTAAAAGCTTAACCTGACAACCCTAAGGTGATCATTATTTTTGGCTAGAAACCTCCCACTGCAGATATCAATAATCAGCATCTGGGAGCCATGGGATGTTTTAAGACCATGGAAAGATGTGTTCCATACTCACAATTAAGAAAATTAATGGGCCAGTCAGAAATGGTGGCACACATCTTTAATCCCAGCACTAGGGAGGCAGAGGCAGGTGGATCTCTGTAAGATCAGGGCCAAAATGATTCACACAGCAAATTCCAAGCCAGCTGGAGCTACAGGGAGACCCTGACTCAAAAACAAACAAATAACAACAACAACAAAACAAAAATGATTCTACTATTTTTAAGAGAAATGTGAAAAAAACACAGGCTTGGGTGCGGGTGATCATACGTGACAAGGGGGATAAGAACTGGTAACTGACTGAGTGGCAAGCACAAAACAGAGAAGATGAAATTTAAAATAAAATCTGGGAGAAAATGATGAGAGCAGAATGAGGCGTGCTGGGCAGCCTGCCTAGGAGCCCAGGGTATGCTGGCTCCCAAGAGACTGAATGCACGATGGGCCATGTGAGGAACCTTATGACACAAGATGAATATTTACATGACCATAGGCGATTCTATATTGATTTCAAAATTCTGAACCAAGGATATGTAAAGAAAGAAAGGAGGAAGGAAGGAGGGAGGGAGGGAGGGAGGCAGGGAGGCAGGGAGGCAGTGAGGGAAACAAGCCATTGTGAAACCAAAATGGTGGCACCAGAGCAATGGAGACAATGGTGACTCCAGGCACAAAGACCTACAAACATTAGGTAGGGCCTCTTCATTTCATTAAGAATCTTGATTCTTCTATATCGAGCTTAAGATTCTACACTCAGGACTTAGCAAGTAAGAGAGATAATAGCAAGGAGCCAAGACGGCTATTCTAATATCTGAAAAAACAGACTTCAAACTAAAACTAGTCAGATGAAATAGGGAAGGGCACTTCATACTTGCTAAAGTAAAATTCACCAAGAGGATTATTATAAGCCTAAACATATATGCACCAAAGACAGGGGCACCTAATTTTATAAAACAAACACTATTAGATCTGATACCACAGATTAACTCCAACACAGTGAAAGTGGATGACTTCAATACTGTACTCTCATTAACAGATCATCCATACAAAAACTAGAGAAGCCCTAGAGTTAAATGTCATCCCAAATCTAATAGACCTAAGAGACATTTAAAAACATTCCACCCAAACACCAAAGAATACACTTTTGTCTCAGTAGCCCATGAACGTTCTCTAAAACTGACCACATAGTAGGCCACAAAGCAAAGTCTCAAAAAATTTAGGAAAATTGAAATAACATCCTGTATTCTTTATGACTACAACGAAGTAGATATCAACAAAAACAGAGATGGTAAAAAGTACATAAAGTCAGGGAAATTCAACAACACACTACCAAATGAAAACTGGGTCAAGGGAGGGAACTCAAATTAATAAAATCAGAGATGAAAAGAGAAATATTACAACAGACCCTGAAGAAATTTAGAAAATCCTAAGGACAGGCTTAAACAATCTAAAAGAAATGGGTAAATTACTAGCATGCACAGCCTACCAAAGTTAAATCAATATGAAATAATTTAAATAGACCCGTAACAACCAAGGAGATGGAAACATTAATTAAATATCTCTGAACTAAAAAAAGCCCAAGATTAGATGGATTCAGAATTCTACCACACTTTTTAAAGAACTAATATTAATACTCCTCAAATTATTCCATTAAGGGGCTGGAGAGATGGCTCAGCAGTTAAAGGCACTGGCTGCTCTAGCAGAGGACCTGGGTTTGGTTCCCAACACCCACATGATGGCTAACAACTGCCTGTAACTCCAGTTCCAGGGGATATGATACCCTCTTCTGACCTCCAACAGTATTGCATGTACATGGTATACTTATATACATGCAGGCAAAACGTCCATACACATAAAATAAAAATGAGTAGATCAAAAAAAATTTAAGAAAAAAAATTATCTCATAAAATAGAAAAGGAAGGAATACTTCCAATTTCTTTCTATGAAGCCAGAATTTGGTACTCTGATACCAAAACTTAAGAAAAGACCCAATAAGAATGAAAATTACAGGCCAATCACTCTGATCAAGATAGATGTAAAAATTTTCAATTAAACACTTGCAAACTGGATGCAGGAACACATTAAAAAAGAATATATACCATGATCAAGTTGGCTTCACCCCAGAGATGGCTGCTGAGATGGTGCAACATCAAGAAATGTAATTCACCACGTAACAGACTCAAGGACAGAAACTACATGATCATTTCATTAGATGCAGAAAAAAACTATTATAAAATCAGATATCCCTTCATCATAAAAATCATGGAGAAGCTAAGGGACACAGGGAACACATCTCAAATAATAAAGGCAATGTACAGGAGGCCCACAGCCAAGATCATACTAAATGGAGAAAAAAAATCAAAGCATTCCCACTAAAACCAGAAACAAGACAAGGATGTCCACTCTCCATCCCTGTTCAGTATAGTGCTTAATGTTTTCACTAGAACAGTAAGACAAGTGAAGGAGATAAAGGGGATGCAAACTGGAAAGGAAAGATGTCAAAAGTATCCCCATTTGCAGATATGATTCTATATGTAAAGACCCTAAAGACTCCACCAGAAAACTCCTAGAAGAGATAAAAACATTTAGCAAAGCAGCAAGATACAAAAGTAACACACAAAAGTCAATAGCTTCCCTATATACCTACAACAAACATACTGAGAAAGATCAGGGCACAGATCCCATTCATAATAGCCTCAAAAAACCATAAATGTTAGAATAAATCTAACCAAGGAAGTGAAAGAATGGTATAATAAAAACTTAAAGATATTTGTTCTAGGTTTCCACTGTGATAAAACACTGACCAAAACTAACTTGGGAAAGAAAGGGTTTATTTCAGCTTAAAACGTCCAGGTCACAAGCCATCACTGAGGGAAGTCAGGGCAGGAACTGAAGGAAGACTAGAGATTTTCTTTGATTTTAAAAAGGGAAAAAAAAAAAAGGGATAGCTGGGGCATACTGAGTGTAGCCTACAGGCCCAGGCTCAGTACACCTCAGCACTACAAAACAAACAGACACAAAAGCAGACAGAAATATTTCTTCAATGGCACAGCTGCCATAGAGAATTCATTTGTACACCATAACAAGTCCATTTATTCTTACTTGTAAGAGGATATTTCATATTTCACCTCTTCAACGTATTTGAAACTAAGGCAGGTGGTATCACTAAAATGATAATGTAAGGAATTGCTGAAAATGATTGATAATATGTTGACTAAACATCTCTACCCAATAAATCTTTTCAAAACAAAGTGTTTTCACTTGGTAAGAAAACATTCTTCCATGCGCTTAGTGAATCACACCTAGGACTGGAAGAGATCTCAGAAATTACTTCATTCTCTTAACTTCACAAGAAGTAAGCGGGGATGGGAATCTGTGATTCAGTTCCTTGCTTACTATCTTCTCACGTCACAACCTTGTTCAATGTGAGTGCACACTGGAGCTCATCACTTATTTATCATGACTCTCTGCCTATACCGTCCCGTCTACAGCTTCAGAACAAGGACTACATGGCACATCTATAAAATCCCCAGTATTTATCATGGTTAAACAAAGAGTAGCTTGCTCAATCATGACAAAATGTGTGAAAATAAATAAAATTATTTGTATTTCTGCTGCTTAAATGAGGGTTTTGCCTCCAAAGCTTTCTCCAGATTTCTCCAGGATTTTACAGGAAAATTTGGCAAATCAATAGGGTCTAGTGTCAAGCTTCCCAGTGGACAAATGAGCACATTCATAAAGTAGAAAGCGTGTGAGATGATTTCTTCCTAAGATTCAAATAATTCATTCAGAAATGTAAATACGTATTACTGATCCCGCACTTTATCAGTAGGAAAACTGCAAGGAACTGTTTCTAGGTCTTAGAATGGGCCCGATGAGGTGGCTTTTCCGTTTGGGAGGGAAAGCCAATATCCCCCGAGGAGGGCACCAGAAAACTAAGGTCAGCTGAACAGGAATTTCGCTAAGTTTAAATATCAGTATGTAGGAAATGGCTTTATAATTCCTAATGAAACTTCTGTTTTAAGACATACCTTCACTTCCGGACCTGGGAAACAGGCTCAGGGCTGGGCGGAATCTGGCCAAAGGTGCTTTGAGCTTAGGGACAAACCAGGGTAGAGGAACAAAGTGGCCAAGGGCAGTGCCCTAACTGGGAGGTCTCACAGCCGGAGGAGGGGCGCCCCTCACCTGCCCGGGGCCCTCTAGCACACACACACACACACACACACACACGCACACACGCACGCACACCTCCCCCCCGCCCCCGCCCCTTACCTGCAGCGCCAGTGGACACCTGGGCCCGGAAGGTGACGATGTCAGCGCGTCCCAGGTGAGGCAGGGCCCTGCCCCAGGGCCGGGGGACCCCGGGCGGCAAGTAGGAGAAGGGGGACTTCCGCCGGATCGCCGTCCGCCTTAAGTTGTAGCCGCCCTCGCTGCTCATGACTCCCGGCTGGTCGGGGCTCAATCCCCGCACGACCCGGCTGCGCTGCTCCCAGGGCCGGCTAAAGCCACTGCGCGTCGGGCCTCCTGCCTACGCCACCACTGGCCTCTCGGGAACTGAGCTCCGGCTCCCACGGACTTTCTCGCCGCCCGCCTCGACTTCGCAGCCAATCGCCAAAGGCACAGCGCGAATCCCGCCAGAGCTCGCGGCGTCTTCAGGTGCGCACCGGGACGCCTGGGACTCGCGGGCGGAGCTTGGGGGCGCGACCTCACGCACTGGCCCAGCGCACCTAGCTGCTCACCGAAGGACAACGCCCTAGGATTCCTGAAATTAAAGTTACCCTGCTTACCGTGTTCAGAGCCACAATCCAAGGGTCACGTGTGTCTCAGGCCGCTGTGCTGTGTTCTGGATTTTAATCTTAATCTTTAGATAAGGAAACCAATTTACAGAACTGACAGCAGTCTTCAGGCGTTGCAGAATTGCGGTCTGAGTCCTCAATCTTTCCTTTTAGGAAGAACTAAACCATGTTGGCCGGAGCACTGTGCCGTGAAAGAAAAGCAGTCTGTGTGGAAATAACCCAGAAGTGGAGCAAACATCCACAGGTTTGATTACCCCGCCCCCCATTCCAAGTATTTCAGCACTTGGTTCCTAGTTCATGTTGCTGATTGGCAAGGGCCCTGGAGCCTGTAGGAAGTGTTTTTAACTGAGAATTTTTGCGTCTATGTTCATCAGGGAGACTGGCCTATAAATTGTCTTTTTTGTTGTTGGTGGGTCTTTGGTTTGGGTATCAGAGAAATAATGCTTTCATAAAAAGAATTTGAACGTGTTCCTTTTCTATTTTACAGAATAATTTGAAGATTACTGATGTTAGTTCTCCTTTGAAGAATTCTTCCCCGAGTCCATCTGCTCCTGGGGTTTTCTAAGTTGGGAGATTTTTTTAAATAAAAGATCTCCCATCATAATCAACTTGGTATCATCCCAGAGATGCAGAGATGACTGAACATATGTAAATCAACAAATTAATAAATGTAATATGGCACATAAAGATTTAAGGACAGAAACCAAATGATTATCTCCCCAGATGCAGAAAAGGCCTTGGAAAAAATCCATCATCCCTTCATGATAAAAGTCATGAGAATCTAGGTGACATATGTCAAGAAAGGCAATATACAACCACAACCAACATTATGTTAAACAAAGAACAGTAATAAACATAACTAAGAAAGTGAAAGACATATAATAACAACTTTTAGATACTTAATGAATTACAGAAGGTAACAGAAAATGACAAGATCTCCTTTGCTCATAGATCAGTAAGATTAATATTGTGTGGGTTGGAGAGGTGGCTCAGCAGTTAAGAGCACTGACTGCTCTTGCAGAGGACCAGGTTCGATTTCCAGCACCCACATGGCAGCTAACAACCTCCATAACTCCAGTCACGGGGATCTGATGCCTTCTGACCTCCAGGCGTTGCATGACACAGGTTCACTTACACACATGCAGGCAATACACACATACACATAAATAAAAGTAATAAAACATTTTTTAGAAAATTCCAACACAAGTCCTCACAGAAACAGAAAAACTCTCAAATTGCATATGGAAACAGAAAAAAATAAACAAGAAAGCCGAAACAATCCTGAAGAATAAAAGAAAAGCAGGAGGCATCACCATCTGTGGTTTCAATTTATACTGCAGAACTATAGTAAAAACAACAATAAAACACCACCACAGTACTGGCATCAAAACAAACATTGATCAACATTGATTTAAATCCATGCTCTTGGAGCCGTATGGTTCTTTATAAAGGGAACACACAGACACATTAGAGAAAAGACAGAATGTTTAACAAATGCTGCTGGTCAAACTGGATAGCACATGTAGAAAAATGAAACTAGATCCCTACCTCTCATTCTGCACAAAACTCAACTAAGTGGATCAAAGGCCTCAACTCAAGACCTGATACCCTGAATTAGATAGAGGAGAAAGTTGGGAATACAGTGGAACTTAAGGCACAGGAAAGTACTTTCTGAATAGGATCCTGATAGCACAGGCATTGGGACCAATAATTGACAAATGGAAACTTCATGAAACTAAAAATTTCTGTCAGTAAAGGACACCATTATTTGAGTGAAAAGGTAGAATGGGAAAATGGCTTAGAAACATTTAAAAAATTGTTCAATATCTTTATCCATCAGGGAAATGCAAATTAAAAGTACTTTGAGATTTCATCTTACTCAGTCACAATGACTAAGGTCGAATAACAATGACAAGTGCTGGTGAGGTTGTGGGCAGTGGGGAAGACTTATTTACTGCTGAAGGCAGTGCAAACGTCTGCAACCACTATGGAAATCAGTGTGGAGGTTCATCAAAAAGCAGTAAAAAGCCAGGTGTGGTGGTTCACATCTTTAATCCCAGCACTCAGGAGGCAGAGGCAGGGGAATCTCTGTGAGAATGAGGCCAGCCTGGTCTACATAGCAAGTTCCAGGCCAGTTGGGGCTACTGGGAGATTCTGTCTCAAAAAAATAAAGAGAAAGAAAAAGAAGGAAAGAAAGAAAGAAGGAAGGAAGGAAAAGAAAGAGTAAAGGCTACACAATACAGTTATACCAATCATGGGCATGTACTCAGAAAGCTCTGTACTACAGAGATACCTGCTCTTCCATATTCATTTCTGCTCTATTCACAATAGCCTGGAAGTGAAAAAAACTTAGATGTCAATCAACTAATGAATGGATAATAAAAGTATGCTACATTTACACAATAGACTATTATTCAGCTGTTAAGAAAAACAAAACTATGAAATTCACTGGTAAATGGATAGAACTGGAAACAATTATCCTAAGCAAGGTGAACCAGGCCCATAAAGACAATATCACATGCTCTTTCCCATAAGTGGATGCTAGCTTTGAATCACTAGATATGTGTACTTCAATTGGAAAATCAATAGAGGAAAAGAAACCTAGTAAGGGGGGATGGGAGGGGAAATATAATTCAGTGATACAAATGGGGAAAGAAGGATAACGAGATAGCAAGGATTAAATGGTGTGGAAAATGGGAGGCTAGGGAAGAAGAAGTAGTAAGGGAGGAATAACTAACACAAAAGCCACTTTCAAAAAGTCATGTGGACACCTACTACTGTAGAAGTTTCTTAGAAAATGTACATTTACAATATAAAAAGAGGTAAAATGGAGTTACCCTGTAACAGGCAATTCAGTGGCCCTACTCTCTGTCTCTCTCACTGTCTCTCGCTGTCTCTCTGTCTCTATCTGTCTGTCTGTCTGTCTGTCTCTCTCTCTCTCTTTATATATATATATAAAATCTCATAAGTTAGCAAATAAGTGGCCAATGGCAGGAATGGACTCCCTCTTTTGGAGTTGTTGACAAGGGAGTTCCCATAGATCTTCAAACAACATCAGCTATTGCTATTGTTATTAGTTATCCCCTGGAGTTTCACAGTAAGACCCTATTGCTAAACAAATACGTGAGTGTAGAGCAAACAAAGACAAATCACACTTACCTTGAAGCATCATGTCTGCTGGTTAACTCTTGTATTATTAGAAGGTACTATTTATGCTCATGGCAGAGAAAGCCTTACTCAGCTGTGAACCATGTGAGTGACAATAACAAATGGCCTGACAAGAGATACCCATGTTTCAGTATACTGATGGAGGCCTTAATAGTGGTCTTGAGGCTGATCAGAGGTAATCAGAGAATATTCAGCACCGGAGTTTTTAGAACTAAGGGAGACTTTCAAACAATCAATGAAGGAACCCTTCACCACCTGGCTTGTTAGGCTATGGGGTATGGGAACAGATGAAATTAGTTTAATCACTGCAGAAACAGAAAAGCTGACCAATATAATCACCCATCCATCCCTCCTTGAGACACAGGTTGCATAACCTGAGGTAGTACAGGGGAAGCAGTCCTTGATGGACTGGCTTGTATGAGCCACTAGAGATATTTGGTCATCACCAGTGGAGGTTCCCATGAATGAGGGACTGGATGACAGTAGAAGAGGGACAGGCACTACTGACAGAACTAGGTATGAGGGAAACAATGCATGATGCCCAGTTCATTGGGCCAGATAGGACTGTGTTCACCAGAGATTTAAAGAACTTGATTCAACAGGGACCTTGAGATTGGTTTGGAGCTTTAGTGGCTTTGCTGAGTCTCTTAGTGGAACAGTGTGGGAGACAGGCTTGAGCCTAGGGTGAAAGTCTTACTGACAGCCATACAACAGGCCCGAGGCAACGGCCCGACTGCTGGATCCACAAGGAACGCCTTGTGACATTTGCTCCCATTGGCAGATCATGAGATTGG